TCTCAACAATATGGGATGTAGAGATATGATAATTGTAGGAGAAGATGACTTCAATATAATAAACCCACTCAGTTTTATCAAAACTTATTCCAAACTTCCAGCTGACTTTAACAAAATGCGTCTGCTACTAAACAGCGATGATAACGGTAGGGTAATCGGAGTACAACAAACAAAGACAGATGATTTTTCAATCTTTGTTGGACTATTATCTTGTTCTGAAGGACATGTGCTAGCTAAAGGTCGTGGATTCCGAATTCATGTCGCACAATCAGGTTGGTCTTGAGCAGTTTTATTTGTGAATAATGGTACAAAGAAAAGTTTTTTTGGTAATTTCTTTTTATATACAGTACTTCCGTTTGAAATTTTGTGTAAAGCCTTAAATCTTTAATTTTAATATGCTCGCTTAAAAGGAGTATTGTTAAAGAAGTCATTGATTATCTCCTTGCATACATAAAAACTAACAGACCATTAATAATCTAATGCAAAAGGATTTTTTGAGTTAGTACAAACATACTGAAACACATATAATCATATATTTTTAAATATATTTTGATTTAATATTTCTGTCATGATGGACATAATATTCAGAAATCCAAAGTTAGGAAATTTATCACATACCCGTGCCGCTTTTGTGACTCTGTAAGTTGGTATTGTACGGCCATGCATATATTTTGACGTGACGTCATTTGCATTATAGAAACATATATTTAGCGTTATAGCCGCGTCAATGAAAAATGGTTCTCTTTCGCTTCAAACGGTCTTTACGTCTGGTATGTGATAAATAATGTAAATACGTGTAAGCGCATTACTGAATTTATTTAATTCGTTGAATTGAACAATATTCGGAGAATATATTTTATTCAACTCGTTCAATCAATTCAGTACTAAACTTACACTCATCCAATATCCTCTAAAACTTATTGGTATCTCTTACAGAGTTCCCGTTCTGTTGGTCGGAAAGTAAATACTCTACAATATGCTACTCGCCTTCCATGGAATTAATTACACCTAACTTCGTTGGAATGTATGACGATGGAAGCAAGTTCAAATACACCGTGTATTCTAACGATAACATTGTCATGATTAAAATCTTAGATTTTGATATAAGTTGTAATGCAGGTATGAAGATTTTTGACACATATGTTTTGCATAACAAAGTTAGTCAGTTTTGATAATGATCTACGGTAATTTATTAGGAGCCAAGAGGCTTGTACGAGTGTCTAGACGCATTCTTTTTAGATCCTGCATATTTTAACTAAGGATCGAACATACATTTAAGTGAAGTTTTATATATGTTTATAATTATTCTTTTTGAAACAATTACCAAACATCCAAAAAATGAGTAATATGTATGTACAGCAAATGTATATATACATATAATTAAACGTTACATTTAATACATTCAGTTTTTATTGTAAAAACTGAAAATAAATTTCTAATTACCTCCCTTTTTCACATGAAATGGAATTCTCTAATATCTTTACAAATAATGCTTTTTGAAACTTACAATATTGATAGCTCTTCATTTGAGCATCAAACTTATGATATAAAACCATAAAAAATGCGTTATAGGATCTTTATGATAATGTGTTACTTCTGAGTAAAATCTAATTTAATCTATTTGCGTTCCAAATTTTTTGAATATTTCAATAAGTGCGTGAATAAATGATCAATTTAATTCTTTGCATACTGGTTTCCTAGCAGTTTCCGGCCCCTAGCAGTTTTCCGGCCCTTCATCATTTTCATTTAGTCCAGTCTATTTCTATCAGTTAATCATCTATGTTGTTTTATTAATCAGAGAAACATTTGTTCTCTTTGCAATACAGCACTTAAAATAGTACAGATTGATATGTTTTTAACTGTTGTTTAAACTTACATAAAACATATCCTATACATGTATGATTCTGACTATACTAAGATTCTCCCAAGACGGAAGACGAATGGTTCATATACGTTTTGAAAAGATTTATAAGGCAATGCTACACGTCAACTATTTAATCACTTGGTGTTATTGTTTTTCTTTCCACCGGTTCAAAATATACAAATACAAAAACAGCAATTTGTTGCAGCCTTGTGTATACTGACTTTATCATTTTAAATGCTGTATTATCTTTCTTATATAAATACTTTTGTTGTAGATTCCGTATTTGGTATTTTTACTGGAACAACGGATACCAGGTACTGTAACAAAAACGTTGTATTTGAAGATCAGTTTTACATAATAGAAATGTTCTCCATAGTCTACCAAAAGATCGTCGAAAAGGCATGTGAAGTTGAGGTATTTCCAGAAGGATTTCATATTGTGTACAAAACGTTACCTAGAGCAATTACTACGGCAACTGTAATCGGTATGTCATAATAATCTTGATACTCATACAGATTAGCATTAAGGATGAAGTAGATAATTCAAGATAATTGCTAATCACGTGAGAGTAATAATTTAGTTCAATAACACTTTATAAGGTATATATTAAAAACAAGAAAACAATTCGACGTTGACTTTAACCACTCAAGCCGGTGCTAGGAGGCGTGAGGGATGTTGCACTTATTCGTTATCTCTCATGTACAGACTCAAACAAACCGAGCCTGCAATTTTCATGTAATCATCACTTTATTTCCAGATTTTTGCCATTTTAGATAATGTTTACAGCAATTTTGACCACAAATTCTAGGGTCAACATAACGCATTATGTGATACTTGTCACCATGCAACTTTTCATCCATTATACATAATAGTATAGATATTAAGTATAAAAGGTCATCAGGGGCAACAAAGTTTTTTTGATGTATTGTTTTTACTTTTTTCAGAAAGCCAGGGTTTCATACGGAAGCAAGGTTAGAATGTTTGTTTGCGTCATAAAAGGTGTTATATACTGATAATGTAACTATATTCTCTTGTTTTAATTGTCATTATTCTTATAGGCATTTACGAGTAGTATGAGTCTGAAGTTAAGTCCCGTCCATGTTGCTAAAATGTTTATCATCAAATAAAAAACAATGCGGTATAATATATATATTACGGAAATGTATGATATACATTTTGGTGTATATTTTATTATAAAAAAATCTCAGTACATGTGTAATATTTCATACAAAATATTAATTTTTATATCTTGTGAAACAGATTTTTCGTAAGTCATTATAAAGCACACCAAAATCCTAGATCTAAGAATATTTAATTAAACATTTTTACCAGCTGTTTAATAAATTACCACCTACATCTTTTATAAGTAATGATTTGTATAAATGGTTGTGTGGGACTACGTAGTTCTGTAAAATATATTTATCAATTTCGACTTTTGGTAGAGCTGAGGTTAAAGTATTTATTTAAAACATCACTCCGGTATCTACCTGTTATAAATAGAAAATGTTTCTATTTTTGTATTGTTATCACATGTGTCACTTGATGAAACGTTTTCCTCCTTATATATGTCTTTGAGATAAATGTGTCGACGTAGCTAAATCGGCACTATTTGTTGCTTCGGTTCATGTAAATAAGTTAAAGGACGCAATCCAAGACATTTACTTAAAGCAAATATTTACAAATATAGGATATTTGTTTGTTTGTGTGTACGATAAAAATTTATTTCATCGAGTGGGCTTGAAAACAGTATTCTCACAAGATGAAATAAATTTTCTTTTTTTATTTTATGCTTACAAACCAGTTAAAACGAAAATTCCATAATATTAACGTTAATATTAAAATCTGTTTTTCCCATTTAGAGCCCATTTTAGTCGGAATTTCTCATTAAATACACGAAGTCTTAAGCGGAAAATAAGTTCGACAATCAACGTTAAGTAATGGTGATATTATTCATTTTATTAAAAAGCCATTTTTTAATGTTGTGTATTTCACGGGAGGAAAATAATTATGTTTGATTCAGAGGGATATCATATAGATTTGTTAGTCATTCACCTTTTTAAAAGAAAGAAAGAAAACTTAATTGAGGATTGTAACAGACAAAATTAAGTTTTGACAGATGTGAAAACATTCAAGGAAAATGGGAAACTTCAAAGGCTGGCTCAGGAATGCTGGGCTGTTTACTTATTCTTCGGGTGATGGCTGTCATTGCTTTTTCAAGTTTTCATAAAGCATACGGCAGTTATTGCTCGTAGGATACTTTAATATGCCCAAATGTCATCAAGAGCAGTTTTGCATGTTGAAGGAATGAATTTTTCAGACTGTGAAAATGAAACAAAAAAAAATTAGAGACGAAACTTGGTGACTTGAATTTGAATGAATAGATGTAAGTTTTCTTCTTTTAATTTCTTTTGACATTTAAGTTATTTATCAATTTCAGTTTTGCTTTTACACATCCTGACATTGTCAGAATTGTCAGGAAAAATAAAATTGAGGTACCACATGGGGAAAATCTTAAAAAGAAGTTTCGTCATTGAAAAGTGTGAAATTATATTTTGATAATTTTCACTGTGAAATAATCAAATATAATTTTCACGGATAAATCATTAATCCACTGAAAAGCATAAGATAAAATATAATAATACACGTAGTCACATATTCTATGACAAAATGTAAAGTGCAATGAAGCAGCGCACTAAACACTCGGACATAGGATATCTAGCTACGGGTGACAGGTTAGTAACGGTAAGTAAAGATGATAGAGTCAAGTTATAATAGAAGAACTGAAGGACATAACGGGATCTTTGGTCGTGACTAAGGGCAAGTAACAAACAATACTCTTATTGAGTAAATTTCATACTTTATTAAAATACAAAGCGATTAAACACAATTTAATACAGTTAAATATTGTTCGTCCAATGACATACTCCATCAGGTTCGTTTTTAAGGCCCCTGACTTTTCTGTACATCTACTTTCAATTAAAAAAAAAACAACAACAAATCTTATATATACATATTATATACAATGTTATACAACATATTTACATAATATGTGCATTCTTAATATGTTCGGCCTCGAAGCGTCTGTATTATTTCGTTATTTTTTATCTTATTTAATATATATTTTGTAATGAAAATGTCGAGATTTTAGAAACAAAAGTATTTACCTCGATCACTCTATTGTAGATTGCCCAGAAGAATTTGGTAAGTGCTATGATCTGGAATTCATGTTTGTTGACATGTCCTGGACTGACTCTGAACAAACCTGCCGAGACAAAAATATGTCATTAGTAACTATACATACAGCACTGGAATTCAGCTATATGAGGCAGCTTATCATCGACCTCTATTCTGTTAACTATGATAACATGAGATATTATAGACCTAGCATACCAGAGATAGTCAACAGCTTCATTGGTATATACTAGCAATTATTATACATCTGTTATACTCGCCGCTCATGTATATCGTTACTGGTAAATAGGAAAATGAAATCTTTAAGACTTTTTTAATGAATACGTCCTTAAAGTTTTATTTGCAACATAATTCGGACACAGCTTTTTTCCACATGTAGTAAAGATGTATTTATTTCAGTTAGACCAGTCAAATACATATACCTGTTTTTGAAAACGGATAGCAACCACAAAATGTCCGTGTCTATACGAAATACCGATGGAAAACGTGTTATCTTTATTATGGTTTTTCTATACAAACATTTGCATGGGTTTTAATTTGTATTCATTTAGCGTTCAAAAATGCTTTTAATTATGTAAGATATGCTAAAACGAATCTTAACGAATCAAAAATTTAGTTCTTAAAGACGAGAATAAAGATCAACAACGCAAAGACAACGTTTACAGGACAAAAAGCGAATTATAAAACAACGAAAACATAACACTAAGCGTCGTAGGACAGGATATTTAAAGTTACTACAATAAAATGCAGTAGAAATAAGACAGTTGCAAGAATATTTGATATTTCTAAGTATGGGATATAATTAAGTTTGCTACTTTTTCAGGTTTGCGTCGCTATGAAGATACGACTGGGGTACACCATGAACACTGGATTGATGGCACCCCATTAACATATACGGCTTGGTGAGTTGCTCATCATTAACTTATGACAAAATGTTCAATTGAGTCTTCTTTCATAACATTATTTCATCAGTGGTGTTGCAAATGTTAAATGGATAGAGATTACAAGTAGTTATTGATATTAAAATATTGCCTGTGTTAAAACAATCTTGCAGGTGTTGATTTTGAATGCTTTTAAAACAAAATAAAGCCATAATTCATTTGATATATTGATGTTATTATGCGTCTCCTTGCCCCTTATGTACTTTGAGTAAATGTGTGCAATAATGTTTTGTGGAAGAATCATCAGACAAGACAAACTGAAACAAGAGCTCTCAAAAAGAGATACAAAGTTTTTTTCCTGAGCAATACAGTGATGCAAATTCACCGTGTTTAATTTGCTTTATGACGTTTTATTTACTTGAAAATCATTGGTATTGCATGAATGGAAGAATATTTTTGAATACAAATCAGCAATTTAAAAGCTTTGTAATGCTTAAATTGCTGCTTACACTGTTAAATGTACTATTTTAATTTTTTTTATACTTTTGATCCTTTTGAAGGGCGGAATATTACTAAAATCCGATAAGGTAGAAAATATGTCGCACTTCATTATATCTCATCACTGTTGCCCCAATCAAACTGGGTCTTCGAATTTTCGACTTTTACCCATAGATCTTCGGAGTTATACAGGTGCAGGTAAGGTAACATCAAGAATGAGTTTAATTCTAAACTGTATTTGATATACATGTAATTCCATATTTAGAAAAGAACAGTTTAGATAAATTATTTCTAATTGCTGTTTTGGATCTTTCATTAAACAGGTACGAGAATGAGCCCTCAGAAATATTTTTCAAGCCGTGCTCAATGATGCAGTTGATACCAGATACGATAGAAAAGGAGAATAATATGATGACGGTATCATGTGATCAAACAATGTCCGACATTTTGCTGATCTGCGAAAAAAAGAGGGATGCTTTTCTTCCTGAAAATGAAAAGCCAACAGGTTAACATTCCTAAAAAACGTACTGTAAGCTGATAACACGATTTGTAATCCCTCATGTACAGACTCAATCAAACCGAGTCTGCAATTCTTAAGTCATTTTGTTGTGATTAATGCTTCCGAGGGATCACTTTGATTCCAGAATTTTGTTATAAGCAATCAATGGTTTGATTGCTAGCAGAATCTCTGTCACATAACTGTTTTCTATCGTGACTGATTTACGCCATTTCGTATTTTCGCTTCTTTGCCGCACAAAAGGACGACAAAGTTCTCTTTGTGTTTCCACTGTTTCTGACTTTTGCAGCCAAATATGGAAAAAAACGACAGGAGTCGATAACACAACACATAAAATCTGTCGTATATTCACATTCCATCTGTTTCACGTTTAAAATACAAAAACAGCGAAAACACAAAGATCAGACAAATTATAACAGAGTTGTCTCTTCGCATTTTCGCTTGTTCGCATTGTGACATTTTCGTATAGTTACATTTTTCGTTTATTTTGCATTGTAACAAATGTGATAGAATGTACTTGTGAATCTTAAATATGAGTCATGGTTGCTACAGGTGAAAGGCGAAGATGTAAAAATATAACAATGCAAAAAAGCAAAAACACAACAATGCGACAAATTCAAAATGCAACAAAATGAAACAATGCGAAAAGGCAAAGATTCGACAGGTGGCTTGCAAATAGACGACATATTTTACATGTCGTACTGTCGCCCCTTTTCTGTCGTATTTTCTCTTTCTCACCTCGAAACTCCGAAAAGGCGAAAATACAAAAGAAAGTTTTTTTTTTTTTTTTTTTTTTTTTTTTTTTTTTATTATTATTGTTGAAACCATCGAAACTACAAACTTACAAGTCAAATTATACACGCAACCTACCTGAAAAAATCTCAAAAATATAGTATTTCATATAAAATATCTAATCTAGAATAGTTATAAAAAGTTACTCTGATGTGCAATTTTTCTTCTTTGTGAACAATGCAGTTAATTTTGAGGAGTGTTATACATCAAATGCAAAGGGCTACAATGGAAACATTTCTGTAACACATAATGGAAGACAATGCCAGAGATGGGACTCGCAGTTTCCGCACAAGCACAAGTTTACAAATCCCGCTCTTTTTCCGGATAAAGCAATTTCAGATGCTGCAAACTTTTGTCGATCACCGGATAGTAAGCTTACACCTTGGTGTTTTACGGAAGATCCGTTAGTTCCGTGGGAATATTGTGGTATACATTCTTGTCTAACAGGTACATTGTAGAAAAAAATACGATATCGATATGAAAATCTTATCCCAATAAAGTAAAGTTTTCTCTTTAATAATTTATTTTTATATACCTTTCTTATTTGTATCCTTTTAAGTAATAAAAGCAGTATTAATTTCAACTCATAATTGTTGCCAAAACATCATCATTTATTTCCTTTAAAAATGATCAGCATTAATGTCTTTGATATACAAATGCACTACAAAGTAAAAGTAGTTACAATGTTATTGATTTTGAAGTCCGCTTTCATTTAAAAACAAATATCATTTTGAAATTGTTTATCATTAGAAAGATTAGAAAAACGTCATAGTTGATAAAAATGATATGTTATATTGTAAAGGAAATTGTTTTATGTAGGGAAATGCAAATGTTTGCTTTTAAGTTGTATGTTGATAAATAAATGCATCCCATTCAATAACATAGCTTGTCATAAGTCGGACAATTACCGGTACGTAACTTTCCGCATCTGAATTACATGCTTATGAAACATTGAGTAGGCAAGATTTTTGCATTTTTTGTTAAAATGAGAAATATTTCTTCTGTTATTTTTCTCTACTTAATTATTCACTTAAAAATTTAACCATTTAGAGAACAAATTTCATAAACAAATAAATATCCCATGTTACATTTAGTTTCAGCACCACAGAAAGACCTTGTAACATTGTTTCAGTGCGATAGTGGAGAATGGATGAGTTATACCGTTAAATGTAATGGTTATATTGAGTGTTTGGATAGCTCCGACGAGACAAACTGTACTGCAGGTAAGCATTTAATGGTCATTACACACCTTGCTTTTGCCCATCCATGTTGTTTTTATTCTCGAATTAAGATTATCTCTACACTCAGTTTGTTACACATTTGTTTCATGCTAGATGTATATTTAATGGTAAATTTAAATAATTTAAAATCTGTAATTGTAAAATGATAAAATAATTATGCTCATAGAATTTTAATGATTTATTACGTTTCCAGACAAGAGTATTTGTAACAATGACGAATTTATGTGTGACAATGGCCGTTGTATATATGTCCATCAAATTTGTGATTTCAAACCGGACTGTGCTGATGCATCAGATGAATTCTGTGGTAAATACATTGTTTAATATTGTTATATCAGATCAAAAGTCTTTAATTTCTTAAAATGAAAGTTTTGCCCTAAGTTTTATGACAAATTAAAGAATTCTATGTTAAACACTCAAGATATGACTTCGACAGCTCATTGTATCGTATTTTCTAAAGCATTTCATTAGTGAATCATAATCAAAAGAAGATGCCAGTTGTTCAAACTTAATAGATACATTATGTAGCTGAACTTGAAAAACAACATGAACTTTGACGATACCATGAATGTTATATCTAAGGTAGATGCTAACAAAACATTCGTCAAACAAGTATTATAATCTTTTTAAAAACTTTTTGAATTATTCAGAGTTCCCAGACTGTTCTGCAGATAGTGAATTTAGATGTTTAAGTGGTCAATGTATATCAAATGAAATGAGATGCGACTCGATTAAGGATTGTGTAGATGGGACTGACGAGGAATTCTGTGGTATTACAAGTGCACTTTTTATATTTGTAGAAAGACTACCGGAATGACCATAACAATATTTGCTCGATATAACAAGATTAAACAAAATTGTTATCTGATTTTATTGTAAGATGAATGTGTTATTTGATTGATAATTTATAAGCTTTATGTTTTCATTATTTATGAAAACATAGAATGTGTTTCTCCGATAGATAAACATAATGAGTTCATTTGTTTCAAAACCTGTAGGTCATTGTCTGTAAAATATGTAAGCAAATAAACCGATCAGAATATTATTAGTGTTCATTTCATTGTATCTTTATAGTCGTTTAACTTAAATAAAAACTGGAAATGGAATGTTTTTGCATTGATAATCATAAATTGATAAAATGTAGTCATGAGTTATATTTATGATGTTGTGTGAGATCTTGTTTACGTCGAATCTAGAAAAATGCAACGAAAACCGAGCGTTCCAGTGTGGAGACACAAAATGTATATCAAAGCGTCTGGTATGTGACACGTACGTTGACTGTTTAGATGGCGGTGATGAGGCTTCATGTGAACATATATATCAGACTTGTGACGACGTCATGCTTGATGGCCTAACTGAAGATGGAATCTATCTTATTGGTATGTATGATTTATGCTCGATATATTCGCACGATAAATACGCGCGTAACATAGCTATATCAAAAACCACTTTGAAACACTGAAGCTACTTTTTCGATTAAGTCTAATACTGTGCTACTTATTGCTAGTTCACATCTATCATTATTGCTACCTACAGGTGTTGATTTGCTCCGAACACGATGCAAGTTAAATGCAACAACTGGGGAGATACTGATGGAATTTCTAAATACAGGCTGGTACAATAGAGGAAATGGCGAGTATCAACTTAATACTCCCGGGAAGTCGATAGTTAACATTGCTATCAATAACGGATACAAATGCTATCAACAGGTACATTTAACAATAATGTTTAATTGAAGGTCAAAGTTGCATGTTTCAAGCTTCAATGATAGGATGTTATACAACTGACAGTTAGTACAAAATATATGGTTTTGATAAAAAATATAAAGGATAGTCGAAAGGTATTCAGTTTAATGCATAAAGAGGTTTTAAAACAAAATGATAGCATAGGCGAGTATCATTCAAAATAATTTCACATGTTTTGCGTAGTGACAACATCTCAGTTACTAATTTCTTTCTTGTTCATTGAACAGTAATTTGACTTATTCCTTAACTAACACTAAATGTTATAGATTAATGAAGTTCCTCATCGCAAAAGACAAAGGGCTATGATGATAGAAAATACAACTATACCAATAAGAGAACATCTTTATACTCATGGTGATTTCACAATATATGAAGGGTATGTTCTTGTAGAATTCAATCAGTAATAAGTTTGTTATTGACATTTTTTATTGGATGTCACGATATAAACAGTCGCTCGCTGTTACTGGGAGCCGTGACAACTAAGTGATGCGAACATACGCTACATACTGTGCATTTGTAGCGGCATTAAACCCATTGTATATTGAGCCAGGTCTCTTTTAGTTATCATTGAAACCTTGATAACTTTGTTTCCTTTAAAGTAAAGATGCATCAATTAATAATAGAGTCAAGCACAATAGATTAATGTAAGTTATGTATTTCTCAAAATAATTTGCCCTATAGAAAATTTACCGTCCTAAATATCTTCATCTCCTTTCAGTATGTTCATATAGGACAAAATTTATTTTCTTGAAATTCTTTACTAAGCTTTAAAATTCAAGATGTGCATTTTTTTTAAATAAAACTAAATTAATAAATGCCATTATTATAATGAAACAAATATAGCAGATATAATTAGGAATTGTCTATTCTCAAAGTATAAAATTGGAAAGCAAGCTAAACAAGGAATATTCTTTCTAATATCACATAAGCACAAAAAAACTAAACAAAATACACTTATTATACTTTTTAAATTTCAGGCCAGGGGAAACAAACTTCACCTTTGTAGATCATCGGATTCATGTAAAAGACCATTTTAATAGTTTTGAAAACAGAATTCAAATTAATAATGTCAAATGCTATAAAGGTATGGCATTATTTAATAATAATGTTTGATATTTATATTACATGTAACAAATCTTTTTTAGAGGTCCCGCAACTCCCATTTTTATGGTTTTATGGTTTTGTTATATTTTTCTGGTCCTTCGGAATTATTGATGCCAGCACTATTGAGTGTTGAGAATTGAGCACCGCTTCCACTCAAGCCGGTGCTAGGGGGCGTGAGGGATGTTGCACGTATTCATTATCACTCATGTACAGACTCAATCAAACCGAGTCTGCAATTCTCTTGTAATTTTGTTGTGATCAATGCTTCCGAGGGATCACTTTGTTTCCAGATTTTTATATCATAAACCTGATGTTTACATAAAGGATAAGATTTATCAAAATTTTACGTTCAACACGCATTATTTGTACAGATATTACCAAATTAACAGTTGATGTAAGTAAAGGAAAGTAATTAGAAATCTATTTTCCATACAGACTGTGCCATTTTTTTCAAAAAGAAATGAATGCATAGATTTTAATGATTAATTATAGTGCAAATAAACATTTGCATTACATGGATGTTTGGAAATTGTTTTAGAAGAATAATCATATACATGTAGATACATAAAATTTCTCTTAAGTGTTGTTTCATCCTTAATTACAAGGTACAGGATCTTTAAGCTTTGTCTATATAGCTTTTAAAATTATATACATGTATAATATTATCTAAAGATTATTTGGATTGTGTTTCTTAACTTAGTCTATTTAAATCAAAATTGAAGCATAAATTTGCTAATATGCTTGTCTATTATTAATTAATATCAACATTAGTGTTATAACTATCGGTGCAAGGATTTTTACGCTTTCTGCTCTTTAAACTAAACATATTTATTTCCCGAAAATATACATTTATATATTTACATGTAAATATACAATACAAATCAAACAATTTATTCAGAGTAAGATTAGAGCGAAAAACTAAGTCTTATAAAATTTTCTCCTTTTAAGCGTGTTTCTATAATGTGCCAAATTGTGCACTTTACCAAAAAGTAAGACAAATGGGGAATATAAATATTTGGAAAAAATAAACATACGAAAATGTATAACAAGTAAGAAATTATATAGCAAACAAAAATGACTGAAAAGTACTGATTAATGTGATGTTGTAAATAACAAAACATTACTAAACAGCAAATTGGTCTTATTAAGAGGAGAGAAAGAGTGTCACACACTTAGATCAGAGAAATCGTTTTGTTTCTGATAATTGTGCAAATATGAACACATTTGAAAATAGTGGCATTATCTGTATTAAAAAATATCTGGGTTGCCACAGAGAAAAGTATTAAGTGTAATGTTAAAATTGTTAAGACTTTGAAATAGCTTTTGTCGCTGTGTGTTAAAATTTGGGCATTCAAAGAAAAAGTGGAAATTTGTTTCCGAGTTGTCTGCTCTTTGAGACAGTCATATCTGATTTAAACTTGTTTGAAAAAACAAATTATAGATTAGCTCTTTATAATTGATATTCATAGGCTCAGAATATAATAGTTAAAGAGTCTGTTGAAAACAAAAAAGTTGTTATAATATGAACATGGTTTATTTTCAAAATCAGTTTTCAATATTTTTATAGAGCTTACAAAATGGAACGAAAGAATTCATTGTTCAAAAGGCAAATTTATTGACCCGGACAAAAGATGCATTTACGATCGTGATGAAAACGGAATAATAACTGGCTGTCGATCTCTGACACATTTACAGAAATGCGGTAATCAGTTTAAGTTACTCAATAGCAGTTGAATAATAAGTTCATGGTGGTCTATTTTCTAATTATTAAATTTTCTATTGAAAATAAATAAATGGGTACATTAGAATATTAATTTGCTAACTGCTTGCTAATAACTACTTATAAATCGCAGTATTAACTTCGTACACATATTTGTTTTAGATAAATATAGATAATTTCTATTTCGGACGAAAAAATCTTTCATATTTTCTGATGTGCTATTCTTTTTACAGAAAATGTGACCTGCCCACGTAATTCATTTAAATGCCCAGGTAGCTATTGTATTCCTTTGAAGTATGTTTGCAATGGCTTAATAGATTGTCCAAATAGCGAAGACGAACAATATTGTGGTAAGAAAATTAAGATTCTAAAACGATTCAAACATTTTAACAATTCAAATTATTAAATTAAAAATAATTTCAATATTTTATTTTTATTTCCTGGATACATTCGATGGCGAAAGTCGCTTTTATGACATCTACACATATATTTATAGAAATAATTTTCAGTATATAAATTGCAACAACTGAATAATTTCTGTTTTTTTTTTATTTTCCGACCTTTCAAATAAAAAAATGAAACCTAATGTCAAAGGTCATGCTTGTTTCTACATTACCCGTTAATTACATAATTATCTAGATACTTACATAAAACACACACGCACTTTAAAAATAAAATACATAATGCAATAACATATACAATAACATGTATTAAAAAAAATTTAATTATACCCCCACAAACTAAGTTTGGGGGCGGTATTAAGGTGTCAGCTTGTCGGTCGGTCGGTCAACTTCGATGTTTCCGGACGATAATTAAGAGTTTCGAATCAGGTATCGTAATCAAACTTGGTATATAGCAACGTTATGTGGAAACTACGGTTGTTGTTGCATTTGGACCCCCTGGCGCCAAGGTCACCGTTACTAAAATAGAAAACTGGTTTCCGGACAATAACTAGAGTTACAAATGAGGTATTGGAATCAAACTTGGTGTATAGCAAGCTTATGTGAAGACCCAAGTTGGTATAGCATTTGGACCCCTTTGATCAAAGTAAAGGTCACCGTTACTAAAAATAGAAAACTGGTTTCCGGAAAACTAGAGTTTGGAATGAGATATTGTATCAAACTTGGTGTATAACAAGCATATGTGGACATCCCACTTGGTATTGCATTTGGACCCCGTTGGGGTCAAGGTCAAGGTCACTGTAACTTTAAATAGAAAAATGGTTTCCTGACAAGAACTAGAGTTAGAAATGAGATATTGTAATCAAACTTGGTGTATAGCAAGTTTATATGAAGATCCTGGTTGGGATTACAATAAATTGACATAATTCTTTGTACACAGTTGATACTTCATCTACTATAGGTTAATTTCAAATTTTTCTTCGGACTACTTATTTTTCAAAAAGTCAAAATTGCTGTTGGGGTTAACATTAACCTTCCGTGATAGGTCTAGTTTATAGCAGGTAACAGACAAAGTTTACACAGTAAAATACTTATTTTCTGATTTAACAATAACAAGGAAAAACTGTATATCTATACAAAATTAAAAAATCTTTTTGTACAATATAAAAGAAATACATATATTCTTTAATGTAAATATTAGATATTTTTATTCATTCAAAGTTATGCGTATTGTTTGCTCGTTTAAATACCATTACTCTTAGTGCAAAATGTAAAAATAGTTGACTGCAATTAATTATTAAAACATTCCTTGTGCGGTAAAGCCATTATGGAACCGGTTCCTTCCTTCCAAAAGAAACACGAAATTACCTGATTAGACGAATACAAATGTATTTTATTTTGCAAAAAAAATGTTTGCACCGTTATCTGCGTAAATGTTGGGCTATTAAATACATCCTTTTGCTTTTGAAGATTTGTGGGCGTAAAAATGATTGGACCCCCATTAGCTTATTAACGCAGGTAACTTTTTGGCTTTACTTTGCATAAAACTATATTAAGTATTTAAATTACATAAAGACTTTTGAAATACATTGGATATGTCCATTTAAGGCTCTTTTTCTTTTAGAATGCAAAGGCAATATTAAGAGAGAAGTTGTGATTATCACTGAAAGTTCTGATTTGTTACCATACAACCGCGCTAATATGCTCTTTCAAACTGCTACCAGACTTGGTGGAACACTTTACTCCAAATACAGAAATGTGAAAACGTTACAAGTTCGCTTATCACGGGATCAGAAAGATGACAATAAGTATTATTTTGAAAGTTCGACTATCAAAAGCAAAAGTGAACACCCAAGTCAATTGTTTGAAAGAATTGATAATGAGGCAAACGATACTTTTCTTGGACTGAAAGATGCAGACCATGCAGCCATTATCTGGTTAACAGATGTTGCGGACTACACAGAAAGTGAAGAATACACATTCAATCTATTTGGATTGTCAAATACTTCAGGACAACCTTTGAAATATCGCATTGTCGTCGTAGGACACACTGCATATAAAGTGGACATTGTCAATAATGTTACTCAATTGATGATAAGAGACATAAATATTCTTGGCACACTGGGAGCAACCTTGTTTCCAAGTATTTGCAAAGGTTTGTAATATATTAATTTTTAGCTGACTATAACCAAATAGACAGTTACTGTAAAATCTTTAAAACGCTTTGAACACATAATTCTTAATAGCTGAAATATGTATTGAAAGTTTACAAATGGAACACCTAATATTCGTAAATCATGCACAGTTACATTTTATGATCATAGAAAAATATTTGAATAACAAAAAAAGTAATTTAGATCATTTCTGTTTTATTTAGGTCAACCTGTTCATTGTAAAGATAGGTATCGATGCAGTTTTAGTATGGTATGTATTCCACACGAACAAGTTTGTGATGGTAAACAACATTGCCCATATGGTGACGACGAGGAGCTTTGTGAGTTCAAATGCCCTGAAATATGTGTATGCAAACCTGGTATCATAATATGTACTGACGTTCATACAAATAATCAGACAATCCGAAATCCCGGCCTCCACTCGTATTTTAGACCTAAGTAACACAACAAAACTTGGAGCGACTATTCTAACGAATTGGGACATCAAACATTTAGCGCTACTTATTTCACTTAACATTTCAAAATGTGGTATAAGTGAAATATCTGAATCGTCATTTCAACAATTTACCAGTTTATTGAGATTAGATATTAGCTATAATAAAATCATAAGGCTATCCCGCGATACTTTTATTCATTTGCGTCATTTAAAAGAGCTTTACATGTCTGGAAACAAAATGTTAAGAGTTTTAGAACCTGGAGCTTTCAACGGTCTGAAAATCAAGTCACTTTCTATAAACAATGCCAATATTGAACGTTTAGACGCAAGAACATTTGCAGGATTAAATCTTGAAAATCTTGATTTAGCATCAAATGGAATAAAAGCTATTGCCGACCTAACGTTTACTGAATTGATTTGTTCAAAGTATCAATATTGAAAATAATCCAGTGTCTATTTTTTCGAAAAGAATGTTTGACGGTGTGACTGCAGTCAAAAAACTCGTCACTTCTGCTTACAAATTTTGTTGTATTCGACCTGGGTACTTGAATGAAGAAAACTGCTTACCATATAAAGATGAATTTTCATCAATGTACACACCTGATGAGAAACACTACGCTACAAGGATTAAATGTGGACATAGGGTTTTGGCTCCTTAACAAGGCAATGTTTTGTCTATAGTTTAATCGCTCATCTTACGACAGAAATAAGGTTGAAAAAATTGGGGATAGAATATTTGTCAGCCAAATCTGGCAGTTTCTGATTTGCTAATGGGCAATTTACATGTTAATAATTGCTACGGAGCAGAATAAATTGTTCATGGACAGGTAAGTTGTTGTCTGCATTTTAAATTTCATAACATGTGTACTTCTTCAAATTTGAATGTTCTTCAACATTCTTAAAAGTTGAAATGTCAAAAAGAGTAAAAGCGTAGAAATATCATTCTATTTTAGTAACATATGAAAGTATTTTTATTTTGAGCATTAACATCTTAAACGTAAACGAAACTTGAATATCAGTACAAACGCATTTTAATCGAAATTTACTAATGTTTCCACGTAGGTATATTGAGGTAGACGAATACTGGAGGAACAGTGCTTGGTGTCATTTTGCCGGAGTTATAGCAACAATATCATCAGAAGCGAGCGTACTTTTCATGTGCCTAATAACAATAGATAGAGTTCTTGTTATAAAATTTCCCTTTGGACAGTACCGTTTCTCAACGTTAACATCTACAGCATCTGCAGCAGTCGCATGGTTTTTAGCTGTTCTTATTGCGCTTGTTCCTGTCTTACATACCGACCATTTCCATAATAAGTTCTACAGCAAATCTGGCGTATGTCTTGCATTGCCGCTTACACGAGACAGACCACCTGGATGGCTTTATTCCGTTATCATTTTCATTGGATTCAATATGATCACCTTTACACTTATCTCCGCGGGTCAGCTGCTTATCTACGCAGAGGTTCGCAAACATAATATGTCAAAGAAACGTTTAAACATGACCCGCAACAACGAGTTAACGGTGGCAAGAAATCTTCTTCTGATTGTTGGGACAGACTTTATTTGTTGGTTTCCTATTGGATTAATGGGTGAGTTGGACAAGTAACTAAATAACCCTGCCCCCTTTCTATTCAATCTTCAATTCTCAGCTGTAATACGTGTTGTTTTCGTTGGTCCTACTTAACAAGTATGTAAGTTGCAAATATTTTATGAACAAAATGCAATAGAGCCTATAACTTAAAAAACAAATGACTGTATGTTGTGGTAGTGTGATAAGTATGTAAATTGACAAAATCAAATAAGGACAACTGATCTTATTGTCAGCATTTACCGCCTCCATCATGTTATGCTTGAATAATTATTTATATGCAGGTTTGCTGGCTTTATCAGGGCACGTTATTCCCGGAGAGATGTATGCTTGGACAGCGGTTCTTATCCTGCCAATTAACTCGGCGTTGAATCCGTTCATGTACACATTCTCTGCTATTATCTCTGCAAAGGTAAAGAGGAAATCACGTACACATGTTGCACTTGTTTTCTGTTTTCTCTTTTTATAAGATACTATAAATTTTATTTTCGACATGTTTTAAACTAATCGTACATGAATTATTTATAAATATGCATCACGTACATTCATAAAACGATGTCTTAACAGTGATATACAGTAATTGTGTAATTAAAAAAAGTCAAACTATTTCGATAATTCTTGTTTCATGAATCGGTATATGTTCAGACAGCTCTTTCAAACATATAATTGAATATGTAATAAAGATGAATGATTATAAATCACACGACTTATATTTACGTCACCACTGTGCGTTCAATGGCATCTCTTAATGTATCAATTATTGATATTTGCTTCCCGAAAGACACGTTATATCTCAGAAACAACTACTTTTAACCTTATTTTCAACATTCTAATAATGGTTTGAAAGCCGAAATGATGTTAATATAGTAGTATCTTTAATTTTATTCAATCGCCATAACTGTACCTAATTGTAAGAAGCAATAGAAGCAAAGAATGATTCAGGTTATTAGCCAATGAGTTTCAATGAAAGCAATAACAGAACTCCAAAAATTAAGTATTTTTGGAGCAAAAGGGGCCTTCAAAAAAATGAGCAATACGTTCATCTTTATTGTTGCTTTTTAAATGAAATATTGTTCGTCAAAGTAAGTAATTATAAAAATAAGTATTCGTTCTCTAAAATTGTATTTTTTCTATTCTATTCAATAGAACATTGCCTACTCAGCGACTGTTTCCTATGAGGCGGAAGGTACACATTGCTTTATAATTATTTTAAGTTATATTTCGAATATTTTGCAGTGTAAACTATTTTCTGACATGTACGTTTAAGAAATGTTTGAAATACCCATACTTGGCTAAACCAGTGGGATTGAATCCGATTAAAACAAAAACAATGTTACAGTGAATTCACGTAATTTCGTGGACATGAAATTTCGTCGTGTTGTCTTAAAGAACATTTTTGTGAGTACTTAAATTCGCGGAATGTTTATTTTTCTTAAGGGTTAAATGTAAATAATGTGGCACAAAATAATCTTACAGCAGACGAAATAAAAAGTCGTTTGTGGAGTGACGTCTCCACGAAAACCACGAAAATTAGTGCTCTGCAGATAAACATGCTTTGCAGTATTAATATTTTCTCTGACAATTATATTAACCATTGACACTGAATTTATTATCAATATATTATACATAATGTCGATATATCTCATTTTATATGCGTATTATTAATCCCTTCTGCTATATTAAAATCTTCAGATTGCGGAAAAGTAATTATGGACGTTCTGCCTTACTTTATACAGAAGATTCTCCGTTCTAGTAGAGCCTACATCCTGGAGGAGGTTTTGCAAAAGAAATCTTTCTCAGCCTTTGAAATCGCATACATTATCCATAATGTTACCAGTTACACAAATATAGTTCATGAGAACGGACTTGTTTTCGACGGGCAAATCACTGCAGAAAACATTGTTGTGCAGCTTAACTCCGATTCAAAGGTACAAAGTGGCATTTTTTTTTAAATTGTCGTTCATTCATATAAAAAAATATCGAAAAAAAAAAACAACAACAACAATTTGCTGCTTTGGTTGAAATTTATTTAGTACATGTATTTAATGCGGTAGAAGTGGAATTGGTTCATTGCTAGTCATGTTTTGTTTTGCATGGTTTATCTTATAATGTTAGGGAACCTGTACATGAAAAATTAAATTTCTGTGCGGCTTAGAATTGATGATGATTTGAATGCTCTTCGACATTATTTTGCCTTTATTGTTTTCTTTTATTAAAATGATGTTTTATTAAATTCTATTACAGCATGATTCTAGGTAACTAAATATACAGTTTCGAGTTTGATAAACTTGATAATTTTAAACAAAATATCACGCATGAAGAAATTCTCGTAGAACAAGGTTCGCTATTATTGTTCTACAAATCAGATTAATTTCTTGAAAAAGGCATTATACAGAGGCAGCTCAATCTGGATATTTAATTCAAAACTGAAAACAAAATCTTCATATAGTAAGTTATTAATGGTATTCATCTCCCACGTTTGAATCATAACTGCAGAGGCAGGGGAATATAAATACTACCAAATATGCTTGTTTAAGTTTCTAACAGGTAGACCCTTCTTTCGAAATTTGCAAATTAAAATCTATTTTTTTAAACATCTAACTATTCTTATATTTAAGTTTTCTATTGAGATCTCTTTAATAATAAAGGTTGATGTTGTTGTTTGGTGTAAAAATGCGCACCATTATTGCTTAACAACATCTGAAATACCTTTTTTTAAACTCTAGTTGTAAAAACAGATTATGCATACAATTTACTTGATGATAACATACGAAAATGAACAGATATTCAGTATCTTTTAAACATTTATGATCCAGTTCATACAACCATTATTGCTGTAAACTAATGCTAACTTATTAACTATTTTGATATAATATTAACTAAAACTGTATATGAGTAGAGGAATAAAACATGCAAATAACGGACACAATGATTTATAATTTCACAATTTAACATAATTTTTATTTTCATTACACTTTTCTTAGTCCCTAGATAATACAATAAATTTTAAAAATCCTTAAAGTTTAATTGTTTCTCCAGGTGCTTTGCCAATGAAAAACAGCATGTTACTCGATGAAACGTTGTATTATAATATATTTTTTAAGTTTTAATAGACAAAATGATTAGAAAATAAATGATTTTGCAGATGACTATCTTTATTTTACATCCAAGAAGCTTATCTTGTGTTTCAAGTATTTGTACACAACTAATGGGATCACTTTGTTTCCAGATTTTATACTTCAAAACAGCACATGTCAAGTGCTGTGTGGCAGCTGTAAAAGTTGCCCCCTACTTCACTTCAGTGTTGTTATATTTCTGTGGTCCTTTGAGATGATTGATGCCAGCACCATTAAGTGTTGAGAATTGAATTGAGAATTGAGTACCGCTCAAGCCGGTGCTACGGGACATGAGAGATGTTGCACTTATTCACAATCCCTCATGTACATACTCCATGAATTTTCTTCAATTTTCATGTAATTTGTTGTGATTAATACTCCAGAGGGATCACTTTGTTTCCTGATTTTAATGTTGATCCATGTCTATAAACAGTATAGAAATATGTCATGTGGTTCTACTTAGGTACCCGTTCGTGCCTGAAATAATGCACGGAGGGGCACCTGAGGTCTTCCTCCATCAGTAAAGATGTAACGTCGCCATATCACCTATACTGTGTCGGTGTGACGTAAAACCCAATTGAACAAACAAACAAATTTTATGAGTATATAATAAATAAATAAATACATTATGTGAATTTGTGGTATTTTCAGATATCAAGTAAAGCTACGATAATGGGAATACCATCTATATCAACAAAAAGAGCCAAAAAAATTGGACACGCCCACGACGATATCTATGATGTTGGCAAACTTATTGAGAGGCTTCTGAAGAATGTCGTTAATTCGAGAACAGAATGATGCTTATACTTTTGGGAAGCTTATTTCACATTTTGTTTACGTTTTGAAAATGAAGTGTTATTAAAACGTTTGTTATCATTTTGTTTCCAATATCTCTTAAAGCTGCATTAAATAAATTTTACAAAAAAAAAAATAGAAATAGCTACATTTCGTTAATTAAACGTGTTTGATATCGACTTTCTTTCTTATTTTGGTGTCCAGACAACCAAAATGAGTTTTGTAAGCCTACAATTCTGCAACCTCATTGACTACAATTTCTATTTGCAAGAGAAACTCCGCCTTTGTGTCATCTGTATATCAATAAAAATTGAACATTTTTAAGTTGCAGTCCGAATTTAACCGTATATTTCCGCATTATATTACGGATACTTTCATACAAAATCCTATCTTTTTATGAGTAGAGATTACTTTTTTTGCTAATGCACCGCGAAACTAAAACAGTAAATGTTTGTTTGCACAAGAAAAGCTCATCTTTGCTGTGATCCACATAGTAACAATTGATTTTATCACTGAGACGTAGCGCATACACGTGCTAATTATAAGTCTTCATTTGCATGTAAATATTTGCCTACAAAATTTAGTGATACCGCGGGGTTTTCTTTTTAAAATCATAACTAATGAACAATATTAAATGAGATGTACAACAATGCTGTTAAAAACGTGAACAAAACTATAGAATGTTTGGTTTTTAAGCCGGCGGAAAAATATGTTTGCGTATTTATCTAATGCAGCTTTAAAGCGAACGTAGATCAAATTTTACTACCTGTTTACATGTTCACTTTATTTTGTCAAGATTAGATATTGTTCTTGCGGTTATATAGCTTGTTTATCGAATGAAATGATAAATACATGGTATGAGGCTTACTGACAGTTTGCTGATGAATGTCCATGTGTTGAAAATGATATGATTTTCATTCGAAAACTGCATACATTTTGTCTCTTGAAGCAAACGAGGATTTTCTATCAAACTGCATTGTACATTGTGACGTCATTGGCTACAATTCGGTATTGTTCTTGTGCCTAAGTACTTAGTGTTATAAAATGAGTATAATTATATACCCATGCATTCAACGCAGATGAATGTGAAAAAATGTGTTGTTATATAGTAAATGTGTAACAGTATTGTGTATGAGTGTTTATTCACAATTATGACAATTTGTTTATTATGCTTTGATTATTATGAGTATATGATAGGAACAAGGCCTCGTGTTCACAAAGAAACAAACAAGATAGAAAGTGCGAGATTTTGTTTTGCCATATAAAAACTTGTTTTGATTACAGTAGACAGATTTACTTTGGTACAGATTCAAATTGATAAAGTATGCTGAATTGCATTAAACTTACTCAAATTCTGTGTAATGAAATACAATTTAATAGTTGAATTATCAAAGTAAGTTTCATTCTTTTGGGTCAACTTTTCAACAAAAATGAATAATAGTAAATAAATAAAAAGTAAAATAGAAATAAATATTGTTAAAAAAATATCTAAGAAACGTTTCTTAAAAAAACATCATCTTGTGTTATTTCAATCTCTTAATTGGTAAAAATGCAAAAAAATGAAATTTTTAAAAACGCATTTTCATTCATTGTCCTTACGTCTTTGTAAACTTGGTACATATACTTGTAGAAGATTTTGTGAACAGCAATTCCGTATATGCCTACATATGCTATTTAAAATAACTTAATTTTTCAGTTGTTGTTTTAGATCCTAGATGTTCGTTTTGTTTGCTTTAGTATACGGTTTACAAGACTTGTTTTAATGTATTACTAGTAAAACCAGTTCATTGTTACACATGTTTTCTTCTTGTATTCATAGAAAATTTCTGGTATAAATTATTGCGGGGAAATGTCAAATCGCGACGGTTATCGTAATCATATTGCTTAGTTGCATTTTGTACTTTTCTACATTGTTTTATTTGAACATAAAGAAAGTCAGTTGGCATGGCATGAACAGAACTGCGATGAACAGAATGAGATTGATATCTAGAGAGAAAATCGTTTGTTTTGAGTTGCTGTTTCATACATGTTTCAAATATAAATTTAGGTAAAATTCAAGGTCAAGTTACACAACATTTCTTTCATATATTGTACCGCAATTCTTTTTTTCTGGAGAATTAATCGTTCATTTTGAGTAAAGGTTTCACTCATGTTTCAAATATAGAGAAAAACTTCAAGGTCAAGTTACACAACTATTATTTCACTAATTGTAGCGCAATTAATTTACCGCACAAATCTTTCGACAAACTATTTCTAAATTTTCTAAATTTGGAACTATTAATGTTCATTTATTGGTTGTACATTTGTATCATGGAGCAAACTGATGATTAATCAACACCAATACGAAACTGCTCAATCAAGAACAAAGCAGTATCATCTTTATTCTGTTGTCAAGGCAAGCACTCATCGTCGACGTTAGGTAGATAGTTATATGTCCTTGTTTTGATCGTGTCCGAGTCATGTGATGAGCTTCTAAAAGATATCTCTGTTGCGTATTCAGCAACAAGCTCTACCCAAAGTTGCTTTTTTGTTATTAATTAAGTATTTAGGCTCTGCGAAGTGATAATCTACAAGCGAAACAATTAAGGTCCTAGCAAATTTAAAGATGATAAGGCGCAAGAAAGTCAAATGATAAGGGAAATGAGAATACTAGTTTATTTGGAGAAAAACAACACAACATATTGAATGGTTTGTTCCCATAATCACAATGATGACCACAAAATACAGCTATTTATTTACCTTACAAAGTGCAATCATTTGTTTACCTTTATAAGCTCGTATAACAGATACTTTATTGTACGAACTATGGGAATGATTTTACAAAATCTGTTTCTATATCTGAACTTTGTCCGAGTTTGACTAAAAGTTGCCGACGTCGTAAATATAAATAATCCAGTTCTGTCTTTATATTAACCGCCATATGAACACATCTGCGGATGTTTCAAAATTGTACCAGTTCATGTTAAATTGAATTCTGGTTAAGCCGGTGCTAGGGGGCGTGGACGGTAACTTGCAACATTTTCGATTTTGTCTTGTTGGGCTTTCTATATGGATTCTTTATTTTACTCTATTTGAAGATGGTATCTTCCCTTGCTACTTGTGAAATCTTGTACTTAAAATGTCCTCCCGCATAGAAAGCGTTCGCTTGTTCATACCTCCATCAAGGTATAATTTGTGTGTGACAAATGAATGGGTATTGGATCTAATAGTGGGTGATACATATATGTGTAGTCCTCATCCTTTCCGCGATAATTTAAATTATATCAGCAAAAACTCTCTCAATGCCATCTTTTATGATTTTTATTAAATAAAGATAACAAGGAGGAAAGAACATTTTTTTTAATATTTACTCATTAATCCGATGTCAGTCATTCATTTATTAAGATAGTTGTAAAAACTATTTTCTTACAGTGACAAAAATTTCAAATCTTTCACTGACAGCTCAGTAGAAATTGATGCTCAATTAATAATCATTTACCTCATAAAAATATTATTCCATTTCCCCTTTCTAGAGATAGCTGACTGCTCTTTTTACGGATGATATTTGAAAATGATAAAGCTTTGATAACTATTTCATATATAATACCTCCACTTCGTTAGAAGTCATCTTGTTCTGAAAGGAATCCAAATTAAAGGAAGCAAATGGGACCAAATGTCCAGTATTTCATACATACGGTATTTCAGTTAAAATATAATTCATCTAATAATACTGTTGTAAAATCCTCATGGCAATACATCGTGAACAAGAGCATCGTTACTAGGCAGAGCATTATATGCCCGAAAAGTGTTAGTCATGAATGAATAAACAAAATAAGATTGCATTTGTGAAAAAAATGCTATGCCACCGCATTAATACAACACTAAATAGTAGTGTAGGAACAGATTATTTTTGTTTCTTTACAATTGAAGATTGCCATAATGCATAGATCCCTGACCTATCTAATTCTTATTACCGATTAGTAGTTAAATCTTTTGTTATTAAAACAAGAGGGCCCAGAGGGCCCTGGATCCCTCACCTGAGAAATAGGTCAAAAGGTCAAAGCGTAGCCCCTTTTCACCTCAGAAGTACAATTTGAAAACAAAGCACAGCTAAATCTGAAAATGTTTTGTACACTTTCACCAAGGAAATGTTTGTGTAAAATTATTTCAAAACTGAACCAGTGGTTAAGTTGTTGTTTAGATGTTGTTGTTTTCTAATTTTAACTCTGGCAGTCATTTTATGAAACAATTCAGCCTGTCACTAAGTGAATGGTTAGCTAATAAAAAGATGATAGAAAAAGAGAGGAAAAACAAACATTTGACCTGGCTGGGGATTCAACTGTCGTCCTTGATCCCCTCGGGCGGAACCAATTTTGACTAGGGATTTTTTTCAACAAACATAGTAGACATACACTTGAACATGTTTCCTGCCAAATATTTAAGTTTTAGGTCTTCTGGATCGTCAGAAGAAGATTTTTTCTAGTTAAACTATATACATGTAAGAAAAATAAATGACCCCTGGGGGAGGTCAATTTTGACCATAGAACATTTATTCGAATAAACTTGGTAGACATCCACTAGAAGATGTTCCATGCTAAATATCTTATCTACAATGCTTTTGGATTGTCACAAGATGATTTAATAAGTTTTTACTATATCCATATGAGGAAAAATCAATGACCCCCTGGGACAGGGGCAGTTTTCGCCCTAGGGATTTCATTTGAAAAATCTTTGTAGACATCTATTAGAAGATGTTGCATGCAAAATATCTAAGCTCTACCTCCTTTAGATTTTCACAAGAAGATTTTCTAAGTTTTTACTAAATTTTGTTTATGTTTGTTTTGGGTCTTACGTAACATCGACACAGCATAGGTTATATCGCAACGTTCATGCTTTACTAGTGAAGGAAGACCTCAGGTGCCCCTCCGTGTATTATTTCAGGCATGAACGGGCACCTGAGTAGAACCACCGACGTTCCGTAAGCTAGCTGGATAGCTTCCTCATATAAATAATATCCAAAGTCCCTGTTGGGATTCGAACCTACAGCGGTGAGGGGCAAGTGGTTAGATTTTACTATATACATTTAAGGGAAATCAATAACCCATGGGCTGGGCCAATTTTCACCCTAGGGCTTTTATTTAAACAAACGTGGTAGACATCCACCAGAAGATCTTTCATGCCAAATATCTAAGCTCTAGCTCTTTCAGTTTTTTTAAAGAAGTTTTGTTTTACGTTTTCACAATATACATATAAGGAAAATCTCAGACCCCCAGTCGGTTTGCCCCTAGGGCTTTTATTTGAACAAACTTGGTAGACACTTATTACAAAAACTTTTCATGCCAAATATCATTCGGTTTTTTACAACATTTTTTTTAAAGTTTTCACTATATCATATAGAGAAAATTAATGACACCGGACCGGAGTCGGGACCAATTGTGATCCTAAGACTTTTATTTGAAGAAACTTTGTAGACACATACAAGAAGATATTTCATGCCGAATATCTAAGCTCTAGCTCCTTTCGTTTTTTACAAGAAATCTTTTTAAGTGTTCACTATATATGTACATATAAGGAAAATCAATGACCCCCGGGGCGAGGCCAATTTTGTTCCTAAGGCTTTTATTTGAACAAACTCGGTAGACATCCACTAAAAGATGTTTCATGCCACATATCTAAGCTCTAGCTCTATCAGGTTTTAACAAGAATTTTGTTTAAATATTTACTGTATACATATTAGGAAAATCAATGACCCCCGGGGCGGGGCCAATTTTGACCCTAGGTCTTTTATTTGAACAAACTTGGTAGACATCTACTAGAAGATGTTTCATGCCACATATCTTAGCTCTAGCTCTTTTGTTTTTTTACAAGAATGTTATTAAGTTTTCACAATAATTATGCATATAAGGAAAATCAACATCCACATGAAGATGATTCATGCCATATATCTAAGCTCTAGCTCTTTCGGTTTTTTACAAGAAAATTTTTTAAGATAATTGGAAAAAAATCTTTCGTTTGCCATGACAACCAGAGTTCTACATGGAATTTAATTCTTTGAAGACCTTTGGTAGAACTTAATGCAAGAAACATTCCTGCAAAGTTTCTACAAATTTGGCCATGTGGGTCATGAGGACAAGTTGTTTAAAGAACGCACGGACGGACTATGGACAACGGGCCATCACAAAAGCTCACCTTGAGGAATTTTTAATTTGTTTACTGTATGTACAGAGTGAAAATCAATAACCCTCTGAGCGGGGCCAATATTGACCCCAAGGCTATAATTGAACAATCTTGGTAAAGGCTCACTAAACAAAGTCTCCTGCCAAATATCTAACCTCTAGCCTTTTTCAATTCAGAGAAGATTTTTTAAGTTTTTAATATACTCGTACATATAAGGAAAACTATCGCCTCTGGCTGGGGCAGGGCAATTTTAACACCAGGGGCAAAATTTAAACAATTTTGGTAGAGGACCCATAGATGATATTTTATGCCAATTATCAAAGCTCTAAGCCTTGTTCCTTCAGACAAGAAAATTAAAAATTGTTAAAAAATATGTACATAGTGAAAATCAATGACCCACGAGGACGGGGCCAATTTTGACACTAGAGGCAAGA